GCTTTGGTTTATCAGGAAACTTATCATGGAATTGTTTTACTAACTTATCAGCTTTTACATTCCAACTTTTTACCCAAGTAGCTTTGGACAAAGAGTATCCCTTCCAATGCACTCAATATTGCAAATGACCTCTATACAACCTAGAGTCTAAAATTGTCTTCACTTCATAGTGTGTTTCTCCTTCTATCACTACTGATGGATGGGGGGGGGGGCTGGATGGACGGTCTTAGGCTCGACCCAATCACTGGCTTCAGTAAGCTGCAATGAAAGACTGGGTGAATTTTCCCTAGAATTCTGGACAGACTGAGCTGAACCGTAACTGGGTTAATTATTTTCACTATTGGCAATGGACCTAGAAATTTTGGGCCTAATTTCTTTCTAGGCATTCTTAACTTTATGTATTTGGTAGACAAGAACACTTTATCTCCCACACGGAAGGGGGGTTGGAGTGAGTCGTGTTTATCAGCTTGTTTCTTGTACTCTTCTGCTGCTTTCGCCAGAGCTTTTTTTGTATTTTCCCACCCATTTTTAAGAGTGTTCATCCATTCAGTCAGAGACATGGAAGAGGGGGGTTCTCTGGGCAGTTCGGGCATGGGAACGAATTCCATGCCACTGGTAACTTGAAAAGGAGTTAATCCAGTGCTGCTGTGGACAGCGTTGTTGTACGCGACTTTGGCAAAAGGTAGCAAATCCAACCAGTTATCTTGCTGGTAATCCACTTAACAACAGATGTATTGCTCCACCATCGCATTGTCTTTTTCCGCTGCCCCATTTGTGCTCAGATGAAAAACCGAGTTAAGTCCTTGAGTGGACCCAATGGACTTCAGGAAATCTCTCCAGAACTTGGCGGTGAACTGAACTCCGCAGTCTGAGATGATCCTCCTGCGTACTCTGTGCAGGCAGTAAATGTGTTTAACAAACATTTTCGCTAGCTTCTTTGCCTATGGTAGTCCTGAGCAAGCAATGAAATAGGCTTGCTTGGAAAATAAGACAATGACTGTCCAAATTACTTTATTATCACCACTGTCTGAGAGCTCAATGATGAAGTCCATTGCGATCTCTTCCCATGGTTGGCTGGGGTTGGCCACCCATTGCAACAATCCAGGGGGCTTGCCTGGCCATATTTTCATGGTTAAAACAAGTGGCACAGCTTTTTATGTAGTCTTCAACTTCAGCTGTAATTTTTGGCCACCAAAATTGATGCCTGGCAAGGTGGAGCATTTTTAGGAAGCCAAAGTGTCCTCCTAACTTCGCGTTGTGGCTTCGCTGTAGTACTTCCAGCCTCAAGTTCGCAGGGACGTACAGTTTGGATCCTTTCCAGGCTAAGCCATCTCTCATCGTCAGGATGTCCTTGTTGTCATTGAGCCAGGGGTCTGCCGGTAGCGCCAATTTCATTGCTGCGGTCAGCTTGTCCTGGCTGAGGGTAGGCGGCAGGTTAGTCTGGCCTCTGGTGGTTACTTGGGCTGCCTTTTGCTGGGAAGGAGGAAGGATGGGGTGAACCACGTCTTCCCTTTTGCTGTTGTATTGCGGTTTTCTTGATAAGGCATCTGCCATCAAGTTCTTCCCTGTGGGGATTTGCTTTTATTATTTATTTATTTATGCTTTCCCTGGATCCATCTCTATTCCCTTACTGGAATAGGTAATCTAGTGAGGTTTTGTGGAATTCACACTTTAACAATTTTGCACATAGCTTGGTGGCTGGAAGTTTTTCCAGGATCTGTCCTACCAGCTTCACGTGCTCTTCTAGGGTCTGAGAAAAAAATGAGGATGTCATCAAGGTAAATGAGCACTCCTTGGTATAGGTGCTCATGTAGCACCTCATTTATCTATTGCATGAAGACTGCAGGGGCCCCTTGTAGCCCAAATGGCATAACTTTAAATTGGAAACTTCCAAGGGGGCAGTTAAAGGCGGTCTTCCATTCATCTCCCTCCCTGATACGTATGCGGTAATACACCTCTCTCAAGTCCAGTTTGGTGAACACCTTGCCTTTAACCAAGTGGTTCAACATATCCTTCATGAGGAGGAGGGGTTAGGTGTTTCTTACACATACCCCATTTATCCCTTGCAGGTTGACACATAGCCTCAGCCCGCCTTCTTTCTTCTCTTTGAAGAGCATGGGGGCTGCTACTTCTGACTTAGCTGGTTCAATAAGCCCCACTTCAAATTGATGTCAATGTACTTCCTTAATTCTACCATCTCTTTGGGAGTCATGAAGTACATTTTCAGCTTTGGTAGGGTAGCCCCAGGTATGAACTCTATCGCACAATCGGTGGGCCGATGAGGGGGGAAGATAGTTACAATCTTCCTCACTGAAAACCCCTGCCAGGTCTCAATACTCTTGGCACTTGCTGTATGCCTGGGGGTTTTGTGTCTGTTGCAGGGGTTCCGGCTCTGGGCGGTCTGCTTTATTGGCTTCAATAGTCCCTAGGTGGCCCTCTGGCTTCACGGGTGGTAGCGGCCCAAAACTTATAATCAATTTCTGAACGCCATCCTTCCACTTTATGGTAGGTGTCCACTTGTCCAGCCACGCTAGCCCCAGGATAATTGATTCATGCATCTTTGGAGCTACAATGAATCTGAGGAGTTCATAGTGGTACCCTATCTGCAACTTTACCAAGTCGGTAATTAGTTTGGCTGGGCCCCCGCCAATTAGCATCCCATCCACCTGCTCAAACTGAATGGAATGGGCTAGGGGTCTTGTGTGTATGCATAGCTGCTCCATGATAGACATGCTGATTAAGCATTGGGTGCAGCCAGTGTCCACGATTGCCTCAACTTCCCCTTCTACCCCCATCTTGGGCACTATGAGCTTGGCTTTGATGGCAAAGGGCCAGATGGGTGTGCTTACCATCAGGTCGTCATCCCCACCACTTCCTTCACCTGGGCTTGGCAAGGGCCCCTCAGCTGGGCAAGGGCCTTCGGCTGGGTCTCCACTGATCCCTGGAGAAAGGGTTTGTTTGTCTGAGGCCTGTTTTGCAAATTTTGCAGCTTGTCTTCTCCCAGGCAACTTCATTTGGCTTTCTGCTGGTTGAGGTTCCTGGAGGAGCTGTCCCTTCAGCACTTTTCCCTGCCTTGATATTGGCAGGGAATCATCTTTGGGAGGGGGAACCCTTCCCCCTCTGAGTTCCCCAAGATTTTCCCCCTGCTGCTTTGTGAAGGGGGGCCTCTGCCCCTGATGCTGGTTTTGTGCTGGTGTGGGTGGGGGCGAGGAGAAGGGCAGCTCAGCTGCTGTTCCCAGCTCTCCAGCTGCTGTTCTCAGGTCTTTTGGTTCTTGGTGTTGGGGCATTGCAGCTGGGGCTGGAACTGGTTGAGGGTTCAGTCCCTTGGGTTGCCCCAGGCCAGTTATCTGAAATGGTGCCATCTGCTGAGGAGGGGCAGGATTCCATTGGTATTGCCCCCATCCATGGCCAATGAAGAAAACCACCCCCAGTGGTGCTTGATTTGCAGGCTGCAGCCCAAACATCAGTGGCTGGCTAGGGGGAGAAATCCCCCAGCTCCCTTGCTGCTGGCTGGATTGATTTCCCCATTCTGGTTGAGGGCCCATCTACACCCAGGAAGGAGGGGCAGAGCCGTTGGTCTTGCTCCAGCAGCAAGGTGTTGGCCTGACCCACTTGGTGCTGTATGGAAGGAGCATAATTCTCCAGTCCAGTGTGTTGCAGAGTCTCTACCCGGGAAGGTGAACGTGGGATGGCCCATGGTCCACCTGGGTGGTCTAGAGCTAAGGCAAGGGTTGATTTCACTCACGTTCAGCTGTCCGAATTGGTCTGGAAGGCCGGGTAGAGGCTGCCTGCATGAGGGTGGCTGGGATCACCAGTCATTGGATCGGCTGGTTGGAGTTTGCTTTGCTCTCCTCCAGTCGTGGGTCGAGGCTGCCCTTTCACCCCCCTGTAGCTCCAATAGCAACTCCCTAGATGCAATAAATCCCGAGGCTTCATCTTGCAGAGCAAGTTCTGATTGTGAGGGAGGCCTAGGCCTGGCTCCCAGCTGCCATTCCCTCTCTGCGGCCTCCACCAGGGCTTTAGAAGGCATGTAGATTGTCTTGGCATAGATAGGCGATCCGTCATCTGTTGCTTTCCCTGTGGCTTTCTTCTCCTCTTCCATCTTCACTGAGGTTTTGCACTGCCCAAGCTTGGGTAAGTGCTGGGACTCAGAACCCTGAACAGCACCCCAATTTCCGGGGTAGCTGGTGAAGTCTTTTTTTTTAAGTTTTTTTATTTTTAAACAAACAAAAACAAACATACATATAACATAAAAATATCATCAATTACATATGTGTTTAGCATGTCNTCTCTCTCTCTCCCTATATACTGTATTTCTCTCTCTTTCTCTCATTTACTTCTAGCTTAGCAAACAAATTGTTTTGCAATAATAATTTAGATTATTTCACTTTTTCTCTTAGGACACTTCATGTCACTATTGCACAAATCACAGTAGCTTTTATGTCATAAAATTTGCATGCCTACTTCAAAACCATGCTTAGCATAACTATATACTTTTTAAAATGTAACAAATGAAAGTACTTTGGCACACAAGTTGCTCTTACATTGAATATAGTCCATGAGAAATATGATCATAGTAATTACATAGTCTCTGTAATTATTGTACGTTTAAATTTAGCAACTAATACATGATTCACTTGTAATTGAACGTTCATTCCTCAATCACAATTGGAGCTTATACTTTCGGTCTTTGGTGTTGGCACAAAACAGATTTTGGTTGTAATTGATTTTTGCTTAATGTTGTACATTGCCTTGAAAGCTGCCAGGTGGCAAAAGGAGATTTGTGTGTGTGTGTGTGTGTGTGTGTGTGTGTGTGTGTATTGATGTCTAGCTTTTTTAAACACACACACACACACACACACACACTCAAATAAATTGCAATTGTTTATGCTTGCTACATATCAGCCAAATAGTTATGGTAATGTTTCTTTAAGAAATGTTCTAGTCCCTTCAGAAAACCATTTACTTTGTTATAATTTTGTCATCAAGGGGCTTGGCTAATACAACGATTGCTTCACAGTAAAACCATTAAAATCCTAATATAGGTTATATCAGCCTTTCTCAAACTAGTCTCTATTCCCCACACAGCATGGACATTTCCCCAGAATTATGGGATTTAAAGTGAATCTAAAGAAGCTATGCAGACATGTTCCAAGCCCACAAAATTGTATGCAAAAAATGCCCTATAGGCTGCTGGAGGGAGTGGGAATAGATCCTTATCAGTGTGTCTCATCATTGTTCTTAGTTAGCCATGCTCACAGTGGCAGCCATTGTGTGAATAGGTGTGGAGCTAGTTTATCAGAATAGCCACATTTTTTCAAAATACACAGCGTACAAAATACACACGGATACCTGTAAGTTATTTCAAATAATTGAATTGTAGATTGGATTTGCTGTCGTGTTATCTTATGTTTTCTTTGTTTGAAACCTTCCAAGTTTAAGAACATTTTTCTTCATTATAGAAGAAGTTGGATTCCATGAGCTCAAAGAGGCGAAGGGCTACCTCTCCTTCTAGCAGTGCCAGTGGAGGAGATTTTGATGATGGTCACCATTCCACAAACACACCAGGTCCAAGTAGGAAGCGGAGAAGACTCTCCAACCTCCCAACAGTTGATCCTGTAAATACCCTTACATGTCTATCTTTCTAGCCTAGTCACTGTGTAAAAGCAACAGTCTATTATATCACTAGAAAGCAATTGTTAAACTCTTTGTTCTTTTAACTTCTTGGGGCTTTAAAAATATTGTCCTTTTAAATTAGAGTGATATGCATACATATTGGAGAATAATGAAGCATCAGAATATTTTGCATTCTAACATAACAGGACCCAAATTGTTGGGAGCAATATGCTGATTCTATAAACCGCTTAGAGAGGGCTGAAAGCCCTATGAAGTAGTATATAAGTCTAACTGCTATTGCTATTGCTATAAAATAATGATGAACCTTATTTTAAATAATAATATAAAACAATAAGTTAAGAAAAACTGTCCCTGCCCACTTTGAGAGTACAGACTCCCCACCCCAAACTGAGCAAACTTTGTCTTGGCACATAAGCTTGCAAAAGGTGGAAGAAAAGTAGGTTTTTTTCCTTTAAATGAATTTTATTTGTATATAAATTGTTTAACATGTTCACAGACAAATAAAATCCCCCTTTCCCCAGCATATCCTTAAATTAATAAAATAGGACTTCTTTGTTTTGTTTAGTTTGGTTGATTTTGGCTGTTATAATTGCTTATTTTCTGCACAGAATTGAAATCGGCACTTAGGTTTAGGGAGCCTATCAAATGTAGCTTTGACAATGAAATTGCTAAGGATGACTTAAGACTCCTTCAGATATGAATTGGGAAGCGATAAAAGAAAAAAAGGTTGCTAAGTTATGTTTCACCATGCTTAGCTACGGTCACGACTCTGTTGTGACCGTAGCTAAGCATGGTGAAACATAACTTAGCAACCTTTTGATGGTTCCTTTTCCAATTTGCCAAACTGACCAAATTAAGAAATTCTCGGTTTCTTAGAGGTCATAGCATATGGTTCCATTTATAACAAAATTACCCGAAATACATAGACACACATACAGCACTTTCTTAAATTTTCAAGGTAAATTTTGATCAGGTGAAGATGTCATAAAAAAAATCATATTTTCTTTAAATTTATTTTTTCTGGAAGCAAATAGTAATGTATCCTATCTCTCCTATGGCACCAGTATTTTATGAAATGTTACATGGTATTGTCCCTTGTACTTGCTGGCCCATCTCTAAAAAGGAAAAATGCTGCATGATTTTGAAACATGAAATGTTTTGAATATTAGAAGTATAGTGTTATACAGATACTCAATATCACTGCAAATGTACTTTTTTTTTCTGTTGCCCTACTATTTTAGATTGCTGTTTGCCATGAATTATACAACACAATCAGAGATTACAAAGATGAACAAGGAAGGCTTTTATGTGAACTTTTCATTAGGGCCCCCAAAAGACGGTAAGCTTGAAATGTTGATTGATAAGTAATCCAATGTGTGTATTTTACTGTAAGTGCAAAACTGCTATTTGGGGCATTTTAGAAGTGTTTCAAACTTCAACCAACCTGTTTTGTACTTTGTTCAAAGGAAGACGTTAGATGTACTCCTAGTATTTATGTTTTATTTGTATTTGGATGATCAAGTTACTTAAATTCATAAATAGAAGGAACTGTTTTAGTTGTTACATTTCAACAGAAGTATGGCTTATAAAAACAATAATACATGAAGATACGTTAAGTGAAAAAATACTAATGATAGAGTCCTCTTTTCATATGTCATACCTCTTAAGAGAATTCAGGAAAGCCTTGCAGGAGGCTTCTGCAAGTTTTAGGAAGGAAATGAGATGCAGGAAATTTTCCTTGGTATCTTTACAACCAGTCCTTAAACTTAACGACCATTGCAGCATGCCAGCAATTACATTATCGAGAATTGGGAACTTGGCAACTGGAAGAAATTTTCAACCATTATAGTGTCTTGTGGTCATATAATTGCCATGTGCATCCTTCACAGACAGTTTTCAGCAAGCAGAGTCAGTGGAGAAACCAGCTGTAAAATTTGAAGACACGGTCATGTGATGACTTAGGGAAGACTTTAGCAATTCAGCAACTGTGGCAGAAATAAGGTTGTAAGATTGTTAATAACATGCTGTTTTACTTAACTGTGTCACTTAGCGGTGAAGTTGCCACTCCTAGTTGTTAAATGAGGACTTCCTGTAATAAAAATAGCTCAGGGAACAGTGTTGATGTCAGAAATCAATTATTTTGTTATTATGCTGATGTAACTGTTGATATAATTGACAAAACTATTTTAGCTTTTGAATAGAATAATCTAGTATATATTTTAACACCTGTTGCAAGCACTGAATTTTTTGTTAATTGCCTAACAATGTGTTATTTCCACAGAAATCAGCCAGATTACTATGAAGTAGTATCCCAGCCTATTGATTTAATGAAGATCCAACAAAAGTTAAAAATGGAGGAATATGATGATGTGAACGTCTTAACTGCTGACTTCCAACTGCTGTTTAATAATGCAAAATCCTATTATAAGGTGATAGTCCTTTGTTTTAAAAGTTTTAAAAGTCATGGGTTATATTTTCTAGTGCTGATTTATGTACAAGTTAAGTAAATAGATGTAAAAGGTCATTTCAAGCCTCTCAAAAGCTGATAATTAGACAAAATAGTCTTTATTTTCATTTGTAATATAATTAATTACATATTTTATCTGATATTAATACTATAATTGTGATTTCCTTAAAATATATATTTAGGATTTAGGAAATTATATATGTGTGTATATGTGTGTATGTGTGTATATGTATATGTATATATATGTGTGTGTGTGTGTGTGTGTGTATTAAGAATGATTAAATGTAAAATGTTTTAGCGACAAACATCTACTTAGATTATGGAGCCACTGAGAGATGAAGCAAGTGCCCCCAAATCACCTTTCCTATTTTAATTAAAAGTATCCTTGTTTACTTGTTGATTTAAAAACATAGAATATTGTTTTGATTCTGTTACACAGCCAGATTCTCCTGAATATAAGGCTGCCTGCAAATTATGGGATTTATATCTACGCACAAAAAATGAATTTGTTCAGAAGGGAGAGGCTGATGACGATGAAGATGAGGATGAAGGCCATGACAATCAAGGGACTATATCTGAAATAGTAAGTATAAAATTTGCTACTTGCTGATAAGTATAACTGATTCAGTACAATACCCATTGTAATTGTATTAACTGTGACAAAGCCAAAGTATGCATAACTGTATTAGTCACATTTTTTAATATTTACATTTACTCCTACTCCATTATGCAAATTGCCTTATAGGATTATATTTGTATCAGTCTTCTCCAGGTTATTTAAAAGAAATTCTTGAACAACTTCTTGAAGCAGTAGTTGTAGCTACAAATCCATCAGGCCACCTTATTAGTGAACTTTTTCAGAAGCTTCCCTCTAAAGTGGTAAGTAACAATACCTAATAATAATTATAATGATAATACACTTTATTGAAACAATTTCAGTACAAGGTTATTAGCAGAAGTGAAATCTGAACATGTATCAAAAGCACAGCTTGAGTTGAGACAGAAAATAGGAAAACCATTTCTTGGTGGCGGGACTCTGCAAACACCATTTTCCTATTGCACGCTTTCTTTTTTTCATTTTTTAACATTTCTTAATTTTATGAAATTTTATAAGCATATAGATAAGAAACAACATAAAGTAATGAGAAGATATAAAGACTAAAAAGAGAATAGGGATAGAAATGCAAAGAGGTATAAAGGAAAAAAAAGGAAAATGAAAATATTTACATAAATAACTTCCAACTTCTTCCAAGTAAATAAGATCTCTTTTGATTCTTAGTCTAAAACTATGCTGTAATATGTCCATTTTAACTGTATATGTAACATATAGATATCATTTTCCTTTTTCTTTCTATTTGTTTTAGCTTTTCCTTTTTTATTTGATTTAAAAAAAAAATAGCTGGACTGAAGCAGTCCTCAGATAATGCCTGAGGTAGATAGTTAGAGAGAGAGAGAGAGACAGAGACGAAGAAAAGAAAGAATCACAATAACAAAGTAGAAACTTGCAGATTTATAGAGCTAGGTATAGAGCTAGACCTAATTTGCTGAACATATTAGGGTTCCAGAGTTCAATATTAAGCAGTGCCTTTCCCAGCAATGAATTAATTGACAGACCTCCAATCACCAACCCACCCTCCAGTTTAAAATCTTACACAGACTCTAAAGTCTGCATGGCAAAGGGGCCTTCTGAATCGTACTAAGGAAGCCTTCCTTTGACACAGGGCAAAATGACTGCAGAAAACATGATTAATATTTTGATACTAATTTTAATACTATTAGTATTAGTATCTTCCAAAGCCTGGAGAACTTGACTGCTAAGTATGTATTGTGGTAACTGGTAAACAATGTTTGTGATCAAAAAGCATAGTCCTAAGACCAGTGGTGGAAAACATCACTACAAAAATTGTGTATGTCACTGATACTAACTGGTAAGGTTCAGATAGAAAAGCTCTGCAGGACGTAGAATAGTTAATTGATCAATGTTAAATTTCACATGGCATCACTTGGATTTTTTTTGAACTTTCAGCAATATCCTGATTATTATGCAATAATTAAAGAGCCCATAGATTTGAAGACCATCGCTCAGCGGATACAGGTGCAGTATAAATTTGGCTGTATTGTCTTGAACATTGAGTGAATATTGAGTGAATATTCAGGTGAAGCAGTTTTAAAAAGAGATGAAATTTAAAGCAATACATTTGTTTTCAGGTGATAGATTTCTTAGATTAATTATAACTTTTAATGTATTGAGTTTTAAAATTATATTTATAAATCATGGAAATGTTTAATCTATTGGTATGGATTAACCTATTGACCTGTTGTAAAAATTTACAAAACTTAGGACAAAATTAGCTTAAGAAATTTTTTCCTACCATTGTTTTCTTGTTTTCTGAAAGAACTTATTTAGAGACTATTAGTGACATTTTTCTTAAATTGTTTATTTTTGTTCTTTTAATTTATATGGTAAAATTAATTTTTTGTAGTTTTGTTTCTAATTATATATTACTTTATCATAATGTTTGTATAGATAATGTAAATGACAGAAAAACTCTGAAGTTCAGAGAGCAAAGTTTTAAATCATACATATTAAATAAGAAAAAAAAATCAATTTTTTAATCTGCTTTTACTTGTAGAATGGGAGCTATAAAAGCATTCATGCAATGACCAAGGATATAGATCTATTAGTTAAAAATGCCAAAACTTATAATGAACCAGGATCTCAAGTATTCAAGGTTGGTTAAAAGAGTTATTTGGTTAATGTAGAAACAAAATAAAACTTTGATTCCAGTTACAATTTAAGAATACATTTCTACACACTGTATGGATTAAATGAAATTAAATGATAGTGGACCTTATTTTTAAAATATACATAAATATGATTATGGCTTTCACATAACATTTCTTACCAATGAATTGTACCAACTTTAATAGAGTCCATACAATTTGCAGCATTACATGCTAACAATAAGGTCAATATTTAGAAATGTTTTGGCCAATATGTCACAAGTTGAATCAAAGCTTAGTTTTAGCCCAAACTTGTTTGTTATTTTGATTTCTAATATATATATATATTATATATATATAAAACTTCATTTAAAGATTCCTTTTTTACTTCCTTTAACAGGATGCAAATGCAATAAAGAAAATATTTAATATGAAAAAGGCAGAAATTGAGCATTCAGAACTAACTAAATCAAGTCTCCGAGTCAGGTATTGTAAGCAGAATAGAAATATAGAAAGGTATTGATATTTTCTTTTTTAGTTAAGATTTTAACTTTTATGTGTTAAATATTAAAATTATCTGTAGCACAATTGTGGAGAAATAGTGAAGTTCTTTAAAATGTCTATTAAAGAATATGTCACAGTATTATGATCTGATGCAAGATCTGATTTAAGATTATATTAAGCAGACATGACATCACATGCTTCTTAATTTGAAGAATTTAATCTACAGTTCAGGATAGTGAAGATTTGTGTTACTATTTCTTAGTTTAGAATTTTTTTTTAAAAAAAATAGGAATCATGGAATATTAAATCCTCCTATTATTAGGACTATGCATAGCATTCAAATAAAGTGCATTTCTAATGTATAGGAGTAGCACATTGCAGAAGCCTGACAGACAATATGGTTGTTTTAATAATTTGCTTGTGCTCTCATATGTTGCAATGCATGACTGGAATGCTTTACACACTCCTAATCCTCTTTTCATAGGCTTCAACTTTCTTAATGAATTTATGTCTAGATTTCCCATATATTCTATATCTATATACTGGCTGGGTAATTCTGGGAATTAAAGTTCATACATCTTAACGTTTACTGAGATTGAGAAATACTGGTTTATATTATGTAGTCAAAGTTGAGTTTACTTGTTTACATTATGAATGAGATCAGAAAAAAAAATAAAGATGCAAAGTTTTAGGCCTCAAATCCAGAAAATATAGAATTGGAAAACATAATTTAGTTTATATTTTGGGATTTTCTACTTGAGATTTTTTTCTCTCCTTTGGGGAGGGGGGGTGTTTTATGTTTTGTATGTTATATAAGCTGGAATTTAGTATTCTTTCTAATTGTTGAACAGATTTGAATACATAAAAAATTGTTCCCTAGCTTTTATATTTATGTTTTATTATGAATGTGAAATAGCTGTTTTTTTTTATTTCTGTACTGCATAATTTATTTTAAAATTGATCTTGAGGTGTTTTTTATCTTTTTTTTAAATAACTTAGTCCAAAACATCCCAATGTCAATTAAGAGTGCTTTTACTTAATATATATTTGCAATTGGATGTACATTTTCTCTGGAGTTAAAATAACATAGTGTTTAAAACTGAGACTACTGTTTGTCCATGCATACTTCACTCTGAAATCAATTGGATTTACTTCCAATAGATGGAATAATTTAACTTTAAAAATTAGCCCTATTATTATGCCTAAAGTGTACTGATTTTACAAACCTTAGTAACATTCAACCATATATTTACCTGTTTAGTGCAATCTGTTTTGTGCAAGTTATATAAAAGAGCTGAATCTTAATTGTGTATTAACTTGGCTTTTTGATGGATTTCTTCTTTTCACTCTGTGGCTTATTTTTTCTCCATAAAGGACTGCAAATCTGACTGCTTCCAAGCTAACAAGTCCTTCCTCACAGGGTAAAGGCAGTGTTGTTGATGAAAGAAATACTGCTAATAAATATTACCGGTGAGTCCTTAGTATCTAGCTATAGTTCAATCAGTTAATCTTTTCAGCGGGTGGGTTTACCCCTTAAATATTATTTGTTAGTTTTATATGTATGTAGCAAAAAGTAAGCATTTATTTTAAAAAGCCAGAAGTATGGCTTCATTTGGTAACTTTGATTGAAGTTTTTTAAAACTATATATGGTTTTAATAGACATGTATTAGAAGGGAAGCGAAAGGCAAAGGAGAAAGAGAAAGATACACCCAATTGAATGCAGAATTGCAGAGAATAGCTAGAAAAGATAAGCATGCCTTCTTAAATGAACAGTGCAAAGAAATAAAAAAAAGCAATGGAATAGGGAGACCAGAGAAAATTTTCTTCAAGAAAATTGGAGATATGAAGGGAATGTTTCATGCAAAGATGGGCAATGATAAAGGGCCCAAATGGTAGGGACCTAACAGAGGTAGAAGAGATTAAGAAGAAACGGCAAAATTACACAGAAGAACTATACATGAATGAGTTAACATCCCTGATAACCACAACGGTGTGGTCACTGACCTAGAGCCAGACATCCTAGAATGTGAAGTCAAATGGACCTTAGGAAATCTGAGCAACAACAAAGCTAGTGGAGGTGACAGTATTCCAGCTAAGCTATTCAAAATTTTAAAAGATGGTGCAGTAAAAGTGCTGAACCCAATTTGCCGACAAATTTGGAAAACTCAACAGTGGCCACAGGATTGGAAAAGGTCAGTTTTTATTCCAATTCCAAAGAAAGGCAATGCCAAAGAATGTTCAAATTATCGCACCATTGCACTCATTTCACATGCTAGTAAAATTATGCTTAAAATCCTACAAGCTAGGCTCC